CCCTGAACCCCCCCCCCCCCCCCCCCAAACAAAAAAAAACACACACACACACACACACACACCTCCGGACCGAAGGCCCCGAACCCCAATGCCTAACTTAAGTCACAAAGCCTCATGGGCCATGAATCCTTTGAGCTCCGAAACCCTAAACTCTGCATCCTAAACCTACATAAAAAAGAGGACGGAAGAAGCATTATTGTAATGCTCTTAGTTCCTGGATACGTATGCTGCAGCATACTCCAATGAACGCCCTGCGTAGAATTAGGGTTTCAGGCTTCTGGCTTCTCGTCTTTTGTTTACATTTGTTGGTTGAGAAGGATTCAGGACGCAGTGTTTAGGGTCTCGGTCCAAGGGTGGCTGCAGGACCCCGACATCCAGAGCCCTTCCGGTTTCGTTTGCCTGGGGGTACCTAAGTCCGAGAAGAGATTATACAGTAGCCCGGAATAGAGCCCATGTATAGGAGAAACCTGGTAACCTGAGAGGAATGGACATCGAAGTTTGCGGATTTCGTTTGAGAAGCTGCGAAGAGTTCAAGAGCTCACACGCTGGCAGGCCGTCTTTTGTTTTAAGCACTCTGGCAGAACATCTTTGAAGATCGGCGTTGCACAGCGGCCCTCTCGCTAAACTGAATACCCTCAGCTGGCACCTTGAGGCAGAAAGATCCAACACGCCCTCAGGTCTTGCCCGAATTACTGGCATGCTCCACTGGATGTCATAGCTCGGCTCTCAGTGGTGTTCCGGTATGTTGAGCATGCAGGACTCCTTGACTGTATGATACTGAAACGAAGTACCCGGCTGCTGCAGGCCATGTTGCTGCTGGTGGCCGGCATCGTAATGTCCTTTGCTGCTTGGTCGCAACTCGTAAAATCCTGCTAAGCTGGTACTGGTTGGCGCTTGCACGCGAGCCTCAATTCTCTCTGCTAATGCAGGGTAGTCGTACAGGGGTCCCACAAGGGTCTTGGATTTGTTTGTGCGCGGGTCCAGGAGTCGTTCTAAAGTAGTTCCTCAGACTGTTTTCAAAGCGGCTCTGGACTAGTCAAAGCAGTCGTGCAGTGGCCGTGGTGTCTTTGCGGCAATCATGATACTCGTGCTGTGCATGCAGACCATGTGTAGATAATATATACACGTACATAAGCTGCATAAACGGCACAGGAATTAATGAGCACGGTTCAATGAATGCCGTAGATAGTCCACCTGGATCTGTGCTGTCGCGGCCTCACACATGCTTGGGCTCATGGAGCGAAGCCAAGAGTTCATGGTCCATGGTGATGTACAGCGCTTTTTGTAGCATGCTCATCTGCGGCAGCTGGTAAGACATGCTGCTTGATGTAAAGGGGTGTCCTCCGGCAAACAACTCTGCAGTTTGCTATTGCCCGTTTCCTTATCAGGACCGAACAACGCGAACAGAACGACATGTTTTCTTAAGCAGTTACCGTGGAACCTAGTCGAGGTCTTCTTCTTTGTCGTGCCCTTTCGGAAGTTTATGTCTGCGGCGCCATCTAGCACCTCGGCTGCAGGTGCTTGCCCTTGTCATGCCTATTTGGCGTGTACAAAGGTTCAGTGCTCCAGGGGTCACTGGGGCTTCAACGGTTTTTCTGTCGAGCCAAATCTCCTGAGGCTCCACTAACCTGGAATGACCCACACCACAAAACAGCCAGTAATGCCGAAACTCGAAACTCCAAAGCTTCACAAGATGATAGCTAGTACGGTATGTGAGCTGTACAGACGTCCGAAGCTGTAGCTTGCTTTCTTTTTGATTGAGGTTTGGCTTCAGGGTTTCGGGGTTTGTAACAGTTTGGGGTTGGGGCTTTCCAGTGTATGGTAGGTTTTACTGTATAAGGCCAAGTGAGACACTGAAGCTTCAGCAAGAGAACCGATTCTCGAGGGAATTCTTGAAATTATGGGTTCTCTTGCGGGTATCCTTACATGAGGATTCCTGCCACCTAGTGTTCACATTGTGGTCAGGATTTGAATTTAAGGCAACTTGCAGGCTCCCAACTGAGAGCTTATGGAGCCTTAGACCCCTTATAGGGCCCTTGCGGTCCCCTTGACGAGCCCGACAGACCTACAAGTCTAGGATGGCTCGGACGGCTATTGTGGCGAAGCCTGCGAAGACCGAAGCTGGTCAGCGGCGAGAAGGCCTGAGGGGTATATGAGTCTTTGGGTGTTAGGGTGTTATCTGTAGGGCGTTGTCTTGTCTAGTATTCGTTAGGGTTTGCGGTGATGAATAAATCATTAGGGTTTGGGGTCTAGGGGTTCGTGTAATCCTGAGGCATCGAAGCTGACAAAACCCACGAGCGCCCCAAACACTGCAAACCCGGGCGCTGAAGCCTCTTGGCAGGAAATTCGGTGGCCCACATCCCTGTGGCCACTTTCGGGCTTTGCAATCACTCTGGGAGCCTGGTACTCAGACTTGCCCGAGGAGGAATGTCAGGGCTTAGGGTCTTGTTTGTTCCTTAGTTAGCCTTGTTCGTTCATTCGTTCGTGCCTTCATTCATTCCGTTCATTGAGTTTTGCATTCATCTATTGCAGCTATATTAGGTATTAGCGACATATACGTAGTAATATCTATACCCCAGATATCTTTAGAGTTCGGAGCTGGGGATTTTGGGGGTCGAAGACGTTTTCAATTTAATTCTTGGGCGCCTGCAGACCCTAAACCTGACCTTGGGGCCCTTGATTCGAGCCCTCAGACTGTAAGGCCCCAGCCCCAAAGCAATAATAGTAACAATCATATTAGTAGTAATAGCCATAAAGAAACTACGAATATTGCTACTAATAGTAGTCCTATTGGTCGGCATCGCTTCGGCTGCGCACTTTGTAAGCCGGCTCCCTAAAGCCTCAGCCACAGGCTCTGAACTCAAACCTTGTCTCTTGACATTGGGCCATGATACATCAATTAGAAAACATGCCATGCTACCAGAGCAAGGTCATAGTAATGCTTCCCTGTAGAGGCTGAACGCCCGGTCTTATCTTGCAGCGGTGAGGATGTACTTCTGATACCGTCGCCCGAAACCGTCTAACAACCCTCCATTCTCAAATGCAGCCCCCTGCGCACTGTTTCGTTGCTGTAGGTGTGGAATGACTTGGTCGTGGAGGTGGAAGACTGCTCAGGACACCCTACACCCTAATTTAACCGGCTTACCCTAAACCCTAAAGCCCTAAACCCCAAATTCCCAAATCCTAGAACCCCTAAGCCCTGAACCCCCAAACCCTAAAACCCTAAACCCTAAACCGGGTTTCGAGAGTTTAGGGCTGGGGACTTTGGATCGCAGGATTGAAGCTTCGGACCTGGGATTTTGGGTTGTGGGGCTTGAGGGTTTTCGGGTTTGGGTTAGTGCTTAGAGTTTTGGGTTATTGGATTTTTTTGGGGGGTTGAGGGTTTAGTTTGGGCCTGGGCTGAAACTACGGAACCACGGTTCGGATTGTTCCCGACGCCCTGATTCCTAGAACCCAGAACTCACCCTAAATTCGGCAACTCACGAGATCCCCAGACTCTTAGACTCTAAGCCTTGAGGCTTCAACCCTTTTCTAGAAAGACGCGTAACCAGAAGCCAAATACTAATAAGCCCCTAGCAAGCCCCTAGCTCCTGAATTTTAGTGTTTTGCCCTAAAAACTTTATAAACCTTAAACCCCAAACCCTAAACGCTAAACCCTAAGCCCGAAACTCTAAAGACCTGGCAGCCTTCGCAAATGCCCGAGGACGCCAGGAACTCATGGAGGGCATGCCGCGAGAGGTGCAGTTCGGGTCAGGGGCTTTCTGTGAGTTTCTCAAGGCTTAGCGCTGAGGGGTCGGGGCTCTTGGGTGGGTCTCTCGAAATTGCGGTGAACCTTGTTTTGGGGTATCCTTGCACTAGGTTTTGAGGCATCCTACTGCTAAGGGTTTGCTGGCATCCCAAAAGTGCGTCCCAAAGCCGTAGCTGTCGACATAAGCACTGGGAGATTGAGCTGGGGAGGGCTTCAGGGTTTGAGGGCAGCTGACGGGCGGAGGTTGCAGCTGAAGTTAGTCAGATGATGCAGCTACATTGCATGGATGGCTGGTTGGCCACTTGCCACGTTTGGATTCCCGGAAACCCAGTGACCTGAGGTGTAGTAGCACTTCTGTTTCCGTGCTACTTTCTTTTGCGATTCGATAGCTCTTGCTCGACAGCTTTACGGCCGCAGCTTATGAGGTTGAAGACTGAGTGGTTTCAGAGCTCAGCACTACGAGAAGCGGGGCCTGACCTCCGAAACTCCATGCCTCAGAATTGGTCCAGGGATTTCCGGCCGTAGCCTCTGAGCCCTAAGCCTGTAACTTCACGCGAAATGCATCCTCCATGTATCAAGCCCGAGAAGAATCTTGGGTCTTCCCGTTCGAGCGCCGTGCCTTCGGAGCCCAGCTGGCTAACACCTAATGCCCAGAAGGCTTGATGCTGCACCCGATCAAGCACAACACGCTGGCCGCAAGCATGGGTAAGTTTATTCCGTTGTAGTTTCTTAGTCTATATATGCAAACACATGTACATATTATATATATATATATACATACACATGTACTTACAGTTATAGTTCAGTAGACCCGCAGACCCTCCCACAATCGCTTGTCCGGCCCTTGCATGTCTTAGCTGGCAATAGAACTATTTGGTCAGCGTCGCAGGTCTCGGGATCTAGACTCTCTAGACCCTACGCCCGACCTGAGATCCCCATACCTAGAACCCGCCCCAAACCCTCAACTGCCAGGAGGATCGCCAAGCAGATGGAACCGAGGTCGCCAAGGGCGCGAACTTCAGCTTAGTGCCGAGCTGAGGGGGGAGGGTTACCAGGACGCTTCGAGACGCAGTGAGTATTTGGGGTATAGCCCTCGGTAAAACCCCACCCGTGCAACTCCTGGCGAGCGATGACCGAAGCTCAAAACCCTGAACCCGTTGAACCCTGAATCTGAACCCCTAAACCCCTAA